CACACACACACACACACACACACACACACACACACACACACACACACACACACACATACACACTAACAGCTCGCTGATGGTATCTCACTGTGGTTTTGACTTGTATTTCCTTGATTATTAAATTGAGCAATTTTCATGTTAACTGGACACCTGGGTATCTTTTTTATGACACACATGTCCAAGTATCTTGGGGGGTACCAGGGATCAAACTCAGGCCCTTGCACTTGCGAGGCAGGTGGCAGAAACACTGAGCCAAACCCCTGACCCCAAGTTTATTTATTTTTTATTGATTTGTCATCCTTTTGATCTGTAGCATTCTTTATGTCTGCTGGATAAGAATGTTTGTTTATTTTTTTCTTTTCCCAAGAAAAAATGTGAGATAATGAAAAGATGGAAATAAAGTGTTTGTAGATGGGGAGGGGAGAAGCGGGTGAAGGGAGGGCAGGAACAAGGGGAAAAAATGAGAACCAAGACCTGTCATGTAGAGGTACAAGATCCCAATGATGAATGTAACTGTACTGTATACCTAAGATGTACCAATAAACTCAATTAAGCTGAAAAAATAATTTAAAAAAAAAAAGAATGTTTGTTTAGTGCTTTGGTTTTCCTGCCCTTTACATTTCTACAAGTATCGTATGGTCAGCTTGCTGAGGCCCATTTCAAAAGGTTCACATTTTAACTGGGATCACATGGACTCCATGGATCCACTTGGGGAGAAGTAAAGTGTCTGTAATGTTCAATCTTCCAGTCCACGAACAAGGTATAAGGCTTTCTGGGCCCCACCCCACCCCTGGCTTGCTTGCTTTTTGTGATACTGGGAACTGAACCTAGGGTCTTCACATTAATGTACATCCCCAGCCCATCCTTTTTATTTTATTTTTATCTTGAGACAGGGTCTTGCTAAGTCACTAAGTTGCCCAGGATGGGCTCAAACTTTCGACCCTCCAGCCTCAGCCTCCCAGAGTGCTGGGATTATAAATTACATGACCACGCCCAGTTCTGCCTACCTCTTTTTACAACTTTCACAATGTTTTCTAGTTGGTATAGAGGTCTTACATATATTTTTAAAGTTCACCTCTAGTATCTAGTATTTTTATGTTAACAGAAATGGAATGTTTCAAAATATTTTATCACTTATTGGCATTAGAGGTAAAAACAAAATTATATTGCTACCAAAAAGCAATCTATTTCTACTTCAAAATGGGAAGTTGTAACAAATGGTTTCCTTCAAAGAAATGCAATTAAGCCTAATAATTGTATAGCTAGGACTTCTAAGATAGTAAACTGGTTCTGCCCAAGTTTTTAATAAAAAGTAGTCCTATTAAAAAGAACCCCATCCAGGCATCTTGATGCATGTCTACAATTCCAGCACTGGGAGGCTGAGGCAGGAGGATTGCTGCGAATTCAAGACCAACCTGGATTACACAGCAAGACTCTGTCTCATAATTAGATAGATAGGCAGGCAGGCAGACAAACAGACAGACAGAAAGACAGAACACCACTCTCCATCAGTGATAGGGAGGTACACTGAGACACAGGACATTCTCCATTCTGTGCAGCTGTTATATGCACATGTATGTACATACTCCCATCGGAAAAGGAACCACATGGAGAATACAAAGAAGCCCACATCAAGTTGGCACCAACTTAAATGAGCAATCATTTATTTTGAAAACCTTGTTTTGAGACGAATTGCATTTTCTTTAATGAAAAACAAAGCTATTGTGCCATGGGCAGGATACCTCCTTATACACTCAAAATAAGTGATCAGAGCCCTAGCTCTTGAAGTTGGCTGCAAACTGGAATCTGCAAGGGTTCAAAACAGGACTACACCGGTTCCTAGCTCCAAAATCCAGATGTAACTGTATAGAGCAGGGCCTGGGCTTCTGCAACACTCTAGCCTTCCTGCCTCCTTCCTTCCATCATCCCCGCCACCCCCAACACGGGGCTAGGCCTTCACATCCTGAATAGAAATGCTGATCATTTTTATCTTGTGCCCATCCCAAAAGGAGGCATTTGACATTTTAAAGAATATTTGCTGCTTTTCTTTTAACAAGTATAATTCTTTTTGGGGGGGGGTACCGGGGATTGAACTCAGGTCCTTGTGCTTTTGAGGCAGGCAGCGGAACCACTGAGCTAAATCCCCGGCCCAATAAGTACAATTCTTGACTGAGATAATCATGCTTCATCTTTAACAGATTTACCACATTATTTATTCAAATTAAGTTAAACCAAATGTATATTCTGACATCAATGCAACTCAGTCATATCTTTTCAGGGAACGCTAGATTAAATTTTGTGCTACTTTAAAAAACTGAGTAAGTGCTTAAAAGCCTGGTATGTACATGATAAAACTGCTAATTCTGTGATCTAAATCTTCTATTCTTTATTGTCTCCTGTTCTAAAAGTTGGAATGTCCCAGAATGACTGCAAAATCCTTTATTGCTTTTGTTTGGTTAATTTTCACTTTATGTATTTTGAGTCTATCTTATCAAATATCCACAAATACTGAATTACTATATCTTCCTAGTGAACTGAATCTTTCAACATTACATTTTTGCCTTAAAGTCTATTTTATCTAACATAAAAATGTTTACACTAGCCTTTCTAGGTATTTCATGATCTCTTTTCTAATTATATTACCTGTTTCTTGTTGTTGTTGTCTTGGATTTTGAGACACGGTCTCACTATGTAGTTCACACTGGCCTTAAACTTTATGTAACTTAGACTGGCCTCAAATTCAGATTCTCCTGCCTCAGCCTCCCAAGTACTGGGATTACAGGAGTGTGCTATCATGCCTGGCTCCAATTTTTTACTTTTAACCCTAATTATGTCTTAATTACTTATTTTTCTTTTACTTTTC